TTCTCTCTTTTCTTTTTTTTTTTTTTTTTTTTTTTTGCAATTGCAACCTGTTATTTTTTAATAAGAATATATATTTGTTTTGATATTTTTTTAGTATACAAATTATTATTTTTAGATTTTTTTAAAAAATAATTTAATAATCCCATCACTAACCATAGTGTATGAGAGAAGTTGAAAATGGTGTGGCAGCAGGTATGAGAGAAGTCAAAAAGGCTTGTGAGTTGGGAGAAGTCAATAAATGCTGAGGTTTTTTCCCTTTTTTATATCAAAAAATTAAAAAATTAAGATTAGAATATTGGAACTCCCACAAGGCATGTAGGTTAGAAACCCCCTTTTTGGGAATGTAATAATGGCCCGACCCAGCCCAAGTAGGCCTCGCGGGCTCCCGCCATTTTAGCGGGCCCGGCTGGGCGGGCCTATGGGCCAAAAAGTGAGGCCTAGGCCCAAGTCTAAGCCCACTCATAATAAGGTCGTGGGCCCCGGACTAGGCTTAGTCGGGCTTCTTTTTTTTTTTTTGAAAAATAAACGATAAATACATTATCTATGTAGCTTATTTATTAGGAATAAAAAAATAAAAGAAAAATTATACTAGAGTATTTTAGTTAAGATTAATGAGATGTTTTGTTTGGTTATATTTTATGGTGGTATTTAAATTTAATTATGTATAACTTCTGTTTTTTTAATTATGAACTCATAATTAAAAAAGTATGCAATTATGTAATTTTTTTCTTTTGAAATGAATAAATTTATATATATGAAAATGAAACTTTCAATATTACAATATTAAATTAATTATATAACATTTATTGAATGAATAATTTTTATTTCAAAACGAAATAAAATATTACAAAAATTTATATTATTAAATAATATAGGTATAGATTATTGATGATGGTAGAGCAATTGCATCACTATAAGCCAAGTATATTCCAACTAGGTTGGCACTTACTAGTACACTGTACGGGGGTGAAATATCCTCTGCTTTCCGTACTCCTTGTACTCCAAGCTTCTCTTGACGGCGTCTACCTGGCAACACAGAAACGGTGAGCTGCCCGGCGGTGGTGTGCTGGATAGACCCTCCGACGATCAAGTCAGTCCACTTGGGGAAGAAAAAGACTGTTAGAGAGAGAGTATTCTCTTTGGGGAAGAAGTTGCATATCTCTAACGTTCACCTTCCTCCACTATTTCTAGGCTGGCCATGCAGCCCCAAGATCGTGCGTGTACCACCTCTGTTGTCCTTCCCTGGACAGGTGGCAGTGCTTGCCTCTCACCACCTTACGCGTGTAAAGATTTTGTCCTCCAACCAGTACATGCGGAACTATCAAACGGTATTGGTGCGTACGTGGAGCAGATGTCCTCTTCCTCACGCCATCGGCCCAGGTGGCACACTTAACCGGAGTACCACGACCAGCTGGTTCCTTGTGGAGAATTGCCTCCTCGAACACATAACCGAGCTAATGAACGCCGACCTGTCCCTTGGCAAAGGGGCCAAAGTGTTATGCTCATGGCCAGGCTATTTATGATCGGTCCCACCTGACTGAACGGCCATGAAGCAAGCTGGACTTCCACCGTTCTTCATTCTTGATCACATGAAGCCCGTCTATCTCGGCCGATCGGTTAGGCGCATGCCGGCGCTAATCGCATCTCAAGTCCAGTCCGGGCTGCTCTTAGCTTGGTCATCAGACACTGCTGCGCGCTCAGCCGCGTCATAGCTCGGCCAGGCATTGGTTCGTGTCTAGCCGGTCGACCTCTCCGACCGTGCAAGTCAGGCCGTTGGGCCGAGCAAGAGAGGAGTCTGCTCGGCGGTGTGCGGTTCGTTATGATTGGCGTTATCGTAGCTCGGCCGTACTAACGCGCAAATCTCCCCTCTCAATTGCCCCTTAACCCATCCGATCTAGTCGTGATTGGGGTTACCATCGTGACCGAGCTAACGGATGACTTGCGCCATTACCAAGCCGAGCATGATTGGGGGCATATCTATCGCCGAGCTGTCCCGTTTGGTCGGCCATTTCCTCCGCAGTCTCATCAAAGGTCGTACAGCCGTACTGACAGCCGCGTTCCTATCTTAGCTCGGCCGTACTAACGGCGCAAATCTCCCCTCTCAATTGCCCCTTAACCCCATCCGATCTAGTCGTGATTGGGGTTACCATCGTGACCGAGCTAACGGATGACTTGCGCCATTACCAAGCCGAGCATGATTGGAGGCATATCTATCGCCGAGCTGTCCCGTTTGGTCGGCCATTTCCTCCGCAGTCTCATCAAAGGTCGTACAGCCATACTGACAGCCGCGTTTCCAGTGCCACGTGGCTTCACGCCATTGGGTCGTGCAGCCAGCTGTTCTGCACGCGCAGAATTCAAACGACGCAGCCGTTTGGGTTCCTTCCCCCCTCTTTTGTATTCCAACGAAGGGCCTAAAACCCTTCACTTTTCACCTTCTCTTCCACACAAACCCTAAACCCTAGCTTCCATATTCTCTGAGAAATTGCCCTCACTGCCGCTGCATCTCACCTGCTTCCGTTCCTATTTTTTGTTTCTCGTGAGGTCACAACCAAGTTCGAGAGGCCCTGTTCTTGCATCTGGTATTTGGTAAGTCCTTCTACCCTTCCTTCAAACTCTCGTACACGAGTTCCTCAAGTTTTTCACTTTTTTGTGCTTGTATTCTTCATGTTTATGCTTGGGGCCATTAGAGTTGCTTTCCCTTGCTTAGATCTTGCACATCCTAGGCAAACAAAAACAGTAGGAATGGATGGGGCTTTCGTACCCCTTGTTTCTCCTGGGTTCGAACGAGTTCGTCCTATTTCTGGGATGAACAGTTTGAATTTGGGTAGAACCGAGCTAAACGCTCATTTAGATCCATAAATGACACTATGGCCGAGCAAAAAACTGGTTTGTGGCTTCTTGTAGAGGCTGTAGCCGAGCCGAACTACCAATTAGACCGGTAATAGAATTGAACGGGGCGAAAACTTGAGGTCGTTACTTGGGCCTTGACCGAGCTAAAGGCTCAGTTAGTTCGTCAAATAGGACCCGACCGAGCTATTACTTTGTTAGGATCTCCTTCTTGGACCTTGACCGAGCTAGAAGTGGAGAGTTAAAACCGAACTAGGAAATCGACCAAGTAGCCTAGCCGAGGTAGGGGTCGAACCGGCCAAACACTAATAATCCCTTCACTGAGCCAATTCCCATAGGGGCCGCGCAATTTATGCCGTGCTAACCCTTGGAATTATTTTTTAACATGCAGAACAAATAGGACCGACCAAGCTAGTCCAGCACTATAATTGGTGGAGCTCAAAGTCCGAGCAAACACACCAACATTTTTGTCCGAGATACAAGTTAGTTCACCAAATAAAACCGAGATAGATGGGCAAGTACCGATTCATGGTGAGCTCGCCCGGTGCGATGGCCGAGTTTCGTAGGGAGTACAACATCCCAGATGACGTCGTCTTAGAACTCGCCAAAAAGGGAGACACCCCTTAGGGGGATCTAGACCGGTGCCCGTTCACCATCGTATCAATAGTAGAGGGAGGGCTCCGCTTCCCGGTTCAACCCTTGATCTGCGAATTTTTGAGGCAGACAAGGCTTTGCCGACCCAAGTTTCCAATAACACTTACAAAATAATAAATGGGGTCCCCGAGCTGAACCGGAGGCTCGGCCTCAATCTCGGTCTGGCCGAAATTTTCCATCAGTATAGTCTAAGTAGAAATAAGAGTGGGCTTTGCTGGTACCTCAAAGTCAAGAAGGGCCGAGCAAAGCTAATAGATGGCAACCCGGACAAGGAGACCAACGACGACGACTTCTTGTGGGTGTCCGGTCCCTATGAGGACACTGAGGCACCCATACCGGGATGGTATATTAGAAAGGATTTTGGCAGTGCCGGTGAGTCGCTCGGCTGACCACGCTATTTTCTTTATGCATCAATTACTTTCCATGCCGATCTAACACTTGTCTTCTTTTTGCAGATAAGCACCTAGCAGCAGACTACCACCAGGCCAACCAAGAGGCCATCAGAGCCCTGCTGTGCCATCCTGCCGAGGAGAGGGAGGCTTCGAAACTGCTCGGCTTTGAATAGACATACCACTACACTGCACCGCGCAAGAGCCGGGTTACCGACTTTCTGCGTGCGCCATCCCCAGAACCAGATCCAAACCTACCACCGATCAGGCTTGTTCCACTCACCGCCGAGCAAGAAATGGCGAAAATCAGGGCAATCAAGTCCATGATTACTGGTGAGGAGGGCGAGTCCCAACCATCGGAGGCAACCGAGGGAACATCATCCGCACTTGCCGGGCAGAAGAAAAGTGCGGTATTGGCCCTCGCCAACGAACAACCGGCTGGCCGGTCAAAGAAAAGACTGAGGAAGGACCCGGCCGGGCAAAGCCTCGCTGATGAAGACTCCACTGAGCTCGCCACCACCGAGCTGGGCGACCAGACCGAACAACCATTGGGCGGGCCTTCCAAATCCCCAAGTTCCCCCCTGGTCTGGGCGCCCGAGATAACGTACAAGGGCCGGGCAGTCTCGTCTGCTGATTCAGTGTATGCTGACAAGGATTACTCCCTTGGTTTCAATATGACCAAGGGGCTAATCCTTCCAGCCGACATGAAGAAGCACGACGAGCTGTCCGATCTGAAAGTGCTTCGCTCGACAGCCAAGTCGATAGTGCTGGTAAGTTTTTCAACTTGTCTTCTAGTCATTGCTCGGTTTCTGTTCGGTTGCCTTGGTACTCATGATCTCTCATTTGCTTGCAGGTCGCGCAAAAGAATTACCTCGCCCACGAGCGTATGATCGCCGTGCGGCAGAGTCTGTGTGAGGCCATCGCCGAGAATAAGGCCCAAAAGGCCGAGATAGCAAAACTCAAGGCCGCGCAAGAAGCGGTCGCGGCGGAGCGAGACATCCTGAGCCAAAAGGTCGACCGAGCTGACGAAGACAAGCAACGGGCCGTGAAGTCGATGAAGGCTCGGTACCTTACCAAGTTGAGGAACTACACGATGCCAACAAGGTAGCCATGGACAAGGCGGTTGATGATGCCGAGGACCGGGGATACGCTCAGGGCGAGAAGACTTACGAGCGCCAGGTCCAAGCGACCAAGGACATCTTTTTCCAGTGCGGTTGGAAAGCCGCCGTGGAAAAAGTTGGCCTTGGTCAGGACGCTGACATGTTCCTTAACCCCCCTGCGGCCTACATCCCAGTCTATATGCAGGCGTACGCCGTTGCTACCCAGAACCGGCTTATTGCTGAGGCAAGGAAAGAGGCCGAGGAAGAAGCCGCCGCCGCGCAACAAGCCGAGCAAACCACTACCGAAGCATCCCAACAAGCGGAAGACGAAGTGGCTGATCGGGAGGTTGCTGTGGAGGATGGAGCAGACGATGACGCCGAGGAAAACCTGCCTGAGCAGACAACTAAGATCGCCGAGCAGACAGTGGAGGCAGCCGAGCAAACCGTGGACCTTGAACTGGACTAAAGATCTTCCTTGTTTTGTTTTTGTTTTTTTTTTTTTTTTTTTTTTTTGATGTAACGGGCTATGTCCCCCATCTTGTACTAAAATTTCCTTTATCAATGAAAATTTTCTACTTTTTGCTCGTTTAACTTCCATTTCTGTTCAGTTGGCATGTGCATAAATTCCTTGATTCAAACTGGTAGGTTGGCTTCGCCGTGCACCAAGCCGAGCTAAAATTAGAGTTGCTCCACTTAAACTCACTTCTTTCCCTGAGCCGAGCATAATCAGCTCGGTCTGAGCAACAATTAGCTCCGCCATTCTGGCTTTGACAATGTTCTAAGTCTCGTTTTTGGGTGGGGCAAATTAGCTCGGTCCCAATAGGAAGTTGGGGGAAATCACAAACATTTCATTTCCGCTGAGCAAAATCAGTTCGGCGTACATTGGAATTACCAATTTCCCAATGTGGCCGAGCAAAATCAGCTCGGCCTGGCGTTGGACAGGACGCCAACATTGCCTTCGTCCAAGCAAAACCAGCTTGGATCTTGTAAGTTTGGCAATTCACCAACGTTTCGATCTTTCCGAGCAAAATCAGCTCGGCCAATGGATTGGACAGAACGTCAATATTTCCACCTTCGAGCAAAGTCAGCTCGGCTATTATAAGTTGGGCAATTCACCAACATATCGTTCGGCCGATCAAAGTCATCTCGGCCTTAACATTGGGTAAAACACCAATATTCCATTTAAGTTGGTCAGGACGCCAACACCCAGCTAGGCGAGCAAGATTCAGCTCGACCCCTAAGCTAATATACCAATTACTTCGCAAGCCAATCTTCCCAACGGTTTGCGCGGTATGCCTCATGTCGGCCAGAGAAAGTCAGTCCAGTTCCATTCAGATCAGTCTATTTGCCCCTGGCATCTATAATTGCCTTGCGTCCTTGCGATGTCATTGTGCAAAGATGTAATACCAAACAACAAGAGGGTTATTTTTCATTACAAAAGCATTACTATCTTTTACATCAAGTGCTAGAAGGCTAAAGGTATAGAAAAGCTAAACGACACAAGCAAATTACATCTTAAAAGTAAAAGACCTTAAGGTTGGCCGCATTCCATGGTCGGGGGACAGCCTTGCCATCTAAATCTTCCAGATGGTATGCCCCTTTACCAGCAAGACCAATCACCTTGTATGGTCCTTCCCAATTTGCACCGAGCTTCCCTTCGCCAGGGACCACTGTGTTGCCAAGCACCTTTCTTAATACCCAGTCTCCAATCTCGAACAACCTGGGGTGCACAGCCTTGTTGTACGTTTTGGAGAGTTCTTGTTGATAAGCCGCTATGTGGATCAATGCTTGCTCCCTCCTTTCTTCAGCAAGGTCCAACTCCAATGCCACCGCTTCATTATTCAGATCTGGCTAGAAACTTTCAGAGCAGATGGTCGGCATGCCAATTTCCAACGGGATGACGGCCTCCATGCCATAGGCCAAGGCAAATGGTGTTTCCCCGGTTGACCGCCTTGGCATAGTGCGGTATGCCCAGAGCACATTAGGGAGTTCTTCAACCCACTTGCCCTTAGCCTTCTCAAGCCGCTTCTTTAGCCCGTCCAGGATGGTCTTGTTTGAGGCCTCTGCTTGACCATTTGATTGAGGATAGGCTGACGTCGAATTGTAGAACTCAATCTTCAACTCTTCGTAAAATCTGCGAAAGAGTTTACCATCAAATTGAGTGCCATTATCCGAGATGAGGGCCTTGGGTATACCGAAACGGGTGATGACGTTTTTCCATACAAACTTCTTCACGTCCTTTTCCTTTATGGTCACTAGTGGCTTGGCCTCAACCCACTTGGTGAAATAGTCGGTGGCGGCGACGAAGAACTTGCAATTGCCCGGTGCTGCTGGGAGTGGTCCAACAATATCCAATCCCCAAAGCGCGAACGGCCAAGGACTTGAAAGTGGGAGCAAATCTCTAGCTGGTTGGTGGATCTGGTGAGCGAATTTCTGACACTTTTCACACCGGCGAACGTATTTCTGCGCGTCCGCCTGCATGCACGGCCACCAGTAACCTTGGGAAGTTGCTCGGTAAGCCAAGGACCTGCCTCCAGTATGGCTTCCATAGATGCCCTTGTGTATCTCATAGAGGAAAGCCTCCACCTTGGTGGGGTGGACACATTTCAAATACGGCCCGGTGAAAGATTTCTTGTATAAGGCCCCGGAAGGGGAGAGCCAAAACCGCTCTGACTTTGCCCGGATCTTGTGTGCCGCCTTCTTTTCTTCTGGTAGAATTCTATCTTTTAGGAAGGCAATGATAGGATCCATCCAAGAAGGGCCCAAGTCGGTGCAAAGTAGCTCGGCCACTTCCGGTTCTTCTATACTTGGCCGCGGTAAAAATTTTATCATCAAGGGGTTGGGAAAAACTGTCTGAGTAGAAGCGGGCCCGACCAACTCATCAGCCGTGTTGTTTCCTTCGCGGTTGATCTGCTCTACCCTTATGGCATCGAACTTTTTGATCTCTGCACGCACCAGCGCCTGATACTTGGCCATTCTTTCATCCCTGGCCTCATACTCCCCTGAGACTTGATTGACCACCAGCTTGGAATCGTTGAACACTATCAGGGCCGACGCTTTCATTCTTAGTGCGCTTCTTAGCCCGGCAAGGAGAGCTTCATACTCAGCCTCGTTGTTGGATGCTGGGAAGCCGAGTGTAATTGCCTGCTTGATGACCAGCCCGTCCGGTGAGTTCAGCACGATGCCCAGCCCGACCCCATGTCTGTTGGATGCCCCATCAACGAAGAGCTTCCACATCTCGCCAATAAACAGCTTCCAGCAATCAGAGGGGTTCTGGGAGCTTCTCAATTCCAAGTCTCTGATCGGTTCATTCTGGTCTCTTTCCTTGTCTTGGTTGGGTTCATCATCGCCAGACTTTGTTAGTTCGGTCGTGCTCGTCCCTTTTCCTACTTGCGAACCAACACTTGTTTTTGTTGCCAGAACCATGGGTTGTGCTAAATCCGCATCAATCAAATCAATCGGGCACACTGGATGCATCCCAGGGGCAAATTCCGCCACAAAGTCAGCAAGTGCTTGAGCCTTGATTGCGGTGCGTGGTCGGAACTTGATGTCATATTGTCCTAATTCCACGGCCTATTTCAAAATTCTCCCAGTGAAGTCTGCCTTTTCGAAAAGCACCTTGAGCGGGAACTCAGTTAACACAACTATTGTATGGGCATGAAAATAGTGCGCCAGCTTTCTTGACGCCATCATTAGGGCCAGCGCCAATTTTTCCAAGGGAAGATATCTCGTTTCGGCTGGGAGCAGAGTCTTGCTTACATAGAAGATCGGTAGGTGCTGGATGCCTTCAGCACGGACCAATACCAAGCTGACCGCGTGTTGAGAGACAGCCAAGTAGAGGTACAACTCTTCGCCTGGCTGAGGTGTGACTAAAATAGGGGCTGAGGAGAGATATGCTTTCAGGTCTGCTAGTGCGTGGTCGCACTCATCAAATCCCAGAAGAAACTTCGGACTTCAAAGTTTTTAAAAGAAGGGCCTGCAACGGATCGAAGACCGGCTGCATAAAATCGTTTCAATGCGGCTGCCATCCGGCAAGATGTTGCACATCCTTCGTGGAGTTAGCGGACGCTCCAGCTTCTTTGTATTGCCTTGATTTGTGAGTAGGTCGGGCCATCGTATTCCCCCAGTGGGAACCAGGAAAACCCAAGACTTCCCAGTGCCAAGCTCGAAGGCGCATTTGAGGCGTTCAGACGTGAAGTCTTGTGGTGCGTTAGGATGGCAAACATTTCTGTAGGCTCGGTAACAAGGGGTTGAGATACTTCTCCCTACTCTTCACCCACCATGTCGTCGAGTAGGCCTCCTATGGGCGGTCCCAGCATTGAGGCCGAAACAATCTTTGTCACAACCCGCTAAAGTCCCCCGGCGTTCTTCTAGTCCTAACGGCATGACTTTGTAGCAAATATAAAAGCCTCTGGGGGTGTGTATGACGTGATCTCTCCCTGTCGTTATACCATGGCTATCTGTGGTAGCCGCGATAATGCGTCTAGGAAGCTAAACCTCTGATGGCCAGTGTTAAGTCCACCAGTTTGGCCAAATTCGTGGCGAGGGGAAAGCTATCCTTGGGCAAGCTCGGTATGACAGTCTTGTAAGTCACGCACACTCGGCCACGTTGTTTCGTTCTCTTGAAACAACCACGCGTGTTTGGGATATCCAACCGAGGGTATTGCACACCTCCTCTATGGCTCCAAGCTTCCAACAGGTTCTTCACTTCTTCCCGCTACCATCATGCCTCAGCATGGTGCAAGGCTGAGCGCGTATCCTTTTGGATAGATGGGCCCGTGCATCAGGGAAAGACATTCAACTGATGGCAAATGAAGCTTGGGTCAACGCTAGGGCAGATACGTAAGGCGTCACGCCAAAGGCCTCCAATTAGAAAGTCAAGAATTTGACGTAATCTACCGCTCGGCGTTCGAACAAAGAATGATCCCAAGAGGAGAACTTAGGTAGGGTCGTTCTCGTCGATACGCCTTCAACCAAATCCTCTATCAATTTTTCCTCGGCCTTTCTTCCTACGTCTTCAAGGACCTCTTTACCCTCGGGCCCCTCAATCATTTGGACGAACCCTTTGGCCGCTCGGCTGCCATTTACCGCAACAAAGCATTATTTTGCCATCACCTGGTCCCCCCAAACTTCCTCTATTTGTTCGCTTGGTGCCGCAAAGCGCATGACTTGGTGGAAGGTCGAAGCAACTGCTTGCATGGTGTGCAGCCAGCCCCTGCCTAAGATCAAGTTGTAAGTCGATGGAACTTTGAGTACCCAGAATTCTACTTGCTTTACGACCGATCCCGCTTTGACCGGCAAAATAATCTTTCCGATTGGCTATTCTGGCTGTGAGTTGAAGCCGACCAAATGGGACGTTGCGGGGGCCAAGTCCTTGTCTTCCAACTTCATTTGTTTAAACGCGTCATAATACATAATTTCTACCGAACTCCCCTGGTCGATCAAGATTCTCTTGATGTCAAAGTCTTTGACGCGAAGAGTGACTACTAAAGCATCATTGTGCGGCATCTGAACTCTTTCCAAGTCCTTGGTCGAGAATGAAAGGATGTCCCTCTCTTCGGTCTTTCCCCTCTTCACAGCGGGCTGAACAGAGAGCACTTCCCTCATGTGCTCGGCCATCTTGATCATCCCTTTCAGTTCGCAGACCCTGGCCGGTTCAATGATGCCGTGGATGACGTTGATTACACCTTGCGGGGGCGCTTCTAGGGCGGCCAGGCCGTTTGGCTCGGCTTGGTCTGCTGGCGTGGCCTTGATGCCCCCATCTATGTATTGGTCAAGATGCCCCGCCATCACCAACTCCTCCAAGTGTTGTTTGAACGGCAAGCAGTCCTCTGTTCGGTGCCCCCTTTCTTCATGAAAGGTGCAGCGATATTTTGAATTGAAGCCCCTCTGCGCGCTCCCCAACTTGGCCGGCCAACGGACAAAGGGTTCACCTCGAATCTCACTCAAAATACGGTAGATGGAGATTTTAAAGACTGTGGTGATTCCAGTCCGTGCCTTTAATTTTCTTTTGGCATCCTCCGCTGCATCACGGGGAGTGTCAGCCCGGTCGTTTCGACGGCCCTTGTTTCTGTCATCACGGTTTGAACCATGGCGCTGATCTTTTGACCGATTGTTTAGGCGGTTATCCTCCTGCCCAACCGAGTGAACTTTCCCTGCCACCCTTCTGTCCGCCACGGCCGGATTAGCCTTCTCGGTCGCAGAGGCGGCATCATCCTCCACATGAATGTGCTCATTGATCCGCTACATCAACGACTCCATGGTTGTGGGCTGATGCATCGTGAGTGAATCTCGCAGCCTATGTCCGACTGGGAGACCCCGTTTGTATTGAGTGATCGCCAAATTAGGGGGGCAGTTGAGGATCTCATTGTAAGTTTCCCAGTATTTCGCATTGTATGCCTTCAACGAACATCCAGACTCCATCTTGACGCCCAGGAGATGGTCGACCTCCTTCGGCGTTCGTGTGTTGGTTTTGAATCTGGTGACGAAGGCTTCCGCTAGTTGCTGCCACCCCTCAATACTCCCCTCCGGGGGCCTTTCGAACCGCTTCAAACCCAGCTCTCCCAAGCTTACTGGGAATATGAGGCATATCAAGGCGTCGTTGCGCCGATGGCCAGCCATTACTTGTCGGTAATGGCTCACATGCATGTACGGATCCATCTTACCGTCGTACAAAGTGAACTTTAGCTGGTGGAATCCGGCGGGGAGTGGTGTACTCTCAACCTCTGGAGACAGCGGCGTGGCTGTAAGTCGTGCCAGCTCTTTGTCCACCAGCGCAGGGGCTATCGTTTTGGGGGCTAGCATCGCCATTTCCTCACTACAACGAACTGGAGCGCTCAACCTCTGCAATGTCGGCACTCTCTGAGCCTCCCGACGGCGCGCCCTCTCCTTCAATACATCCCTCAAGTCCCTGGAACGTGTGGAGAAAGAGGATCGCGACGTCGGCGTCGGGGCGTGAGGGGCGGTAAGTGCTGTCGCGAGAGAGGGACCTGCCCTCTCTTTGGTCGGAATCTCCAACCCCATAGTTCCTGGTGATGGAGAGAGAGTGAGTCCTCCCCTGGCGGCGACTGCTACAACGAGAGGACGGGGTGCGCTCACTGAGGTTGCCGTCTCCAACAACACCCTTCCCTTTAATCTGGCGTTTCAGTAGCTCCATCTCCGCCGCCATCTTGCGAATGAGGGCGTCTTGGTCCTTGAGTTTGTGCTCCAGGCGCTGCGCATGGGACTCCCCCCGGCGTCGGCGGCCCTCAGAACTCTGCGAGCGATCAGTACTCCTCCCGCGTTTGTCTCGCGCACCTCGCGAATGAGTCTCTAGGCCCGCCATGGCTGGAATATTCGGGGGGCCTTCTCTCAAGCGGACGTACTCAGGTGTGACACCATCAACGACGGACAGTGGGGCTTCGCCGTTGTTGGCCATGGAAATGGTTGACGAAGCTCAAAGAACAAGGTTGAGTATCAAAGACTTCCCACAGACGGCGCCAATTGTACGGGGGCGAAATATCCTCTGCTTTCCGTACTCCTTGTACTCCAAGCTTCTCTTGACGGTGTCTACCTGGCAACACAAAAACGGTGAGCTGCCCGGCGGTGGTGTACCGGATAGACCCTCCGACGATCAAGTCAGTCCACTTGGGGAAGAAGAAGACTGTTAGAGAGAGAGTATTCTCTTTGGGGAAGAAGCTGCATACCTCTAACGTTCACCTTCCTTCACTATTTCTAGGCTGGCCATGCAACCCCAAGATCGTGCGCGCACCACCTCTGTTGTCCTTCCCTGGACAGGTGGCAGTGCTTGCCTCTCACTACCTTACGCGTGTAAAGATTTTGTCCTCCAACCAGTACATGCGGAACTGCCAAACGGCATTGGTGCGTGCGTGGAGCAGATGTCCTCTTCCTCACGCCATCGGCCCAGGTGGCACACTTAACTTGAGTACTACGACCAGCTGGTTCCTTGTGGAGAATTGCCTCCTTGAACACATAACCGAGCTAATGAACGCCGACCTGCCCCTTGGCAAAGGGGCCAAAGTGTTATGCTCATGGCCAGGCTATTTATGATCGGTCCCACCTGACTGAACGGCCATGAAGCATGCTGGACTTCCACCATTCTTCATTCTTGATCACATGAAGCCCGTCCATCTCGGCCGATCGGTTAGGCGCATGCCGGCGCTAATCGCATCTCAAGTCCAGTCCGGGCTGCTCTTAGCTTGGTCATCAGACACTGCTGCACGCTCGGCCTCGTCATAGCTCGGCCAGGCATTGGTTCGTGTCTAGCCGGTCGACCTCTCCGGCCGTGCAAGTCAGGTCGCTGGGCCGAGCAAGAGAGGAGTCTGCTCGGCAGTGTGCGATTCGTCATGATCGGCGTTATCGTAGCTCGGTCGTACTAACGCGCAAATCTCCCCTCTCATACACCAATCATTTGCATTATACTCCACCTCAATAATCTAATACAAAAAAAAAATGAAATGAAATGAAATAGTAAAAAAAAATTGTTGATCAATCATCGGAGGAGACAGAAATTTCAGTCGCGTTGCCCGAGAATATGTTATCCAAATCATTTTGAATTCGCTCATTTTCATTATAATTTTGTCTTTTTGTAAGCGCATGCATATAATCTCTGAATATCATCAGTGCCTCAAGAATTTGGGGTGAAAGCCTGCTCTAATAATTGCTCAGCACCTATTGTAGACACCCTATTTTTGACCGACCTTAAGACTCAGACGTCATCGATTGAGCCCTCGGTGATAGTGCATGTTGTGCTCATTTAGAGGTTTCGGAGTTTTGGCTGAGGGCCTTACCTCCGGGCCTTTGAATTCTTTTGTGCTTCGGTTCAGTTTGTGGACCGAACTTTTTTTCTCTTCCCCGAAGGGAGGGAGAGGTCTTGTAGACCATCTCTTTGTGGTCGTAGACCACTTTTCCCATTTGGAGACTAGTTTTCGATTTTCAAAGCCTTCGGCTGCGTGCCTTGTCTCGGGATCGCTCAACGTTCTCCATTTGGCGTGGTTTTTGAACCACACCTTGTTGCCTCTGCCTAGAGGAACACTGTGGTCCAGGAGACCACTTTTGTGGTGGCATACCACTTTTGATGCTCGTAGACCAGTTTTCGAGACTTTTGATCGCGTGCTTTGCCTCCCGATCTCTCGTCTTGCATCCGTTTTGGTTTGTTTTTGGTACAAACCTTGTTTTCTTTGTTTGGAAGGTTGTACAAGGGTGGGAGACCACTTTTTCTCCTTGGAGACCACTTTTCCTTCTGCCAACCAGCTTTCTGGTCCGATAACTGGCTTTCTTGGTTTTTGAGCCATATTTTCTGGTCGGCCACCACACCACTAGCTTTCTTTCATGCCCTGGACTCTCTCCCACCATGGCCGACCAGTTTGTGTCTTGGAAGACCACTTGAAGTGGTCGGCCGACCACTTTAAGTAGCAGGCCAACCACTTCAAGTGGTCAGCTGCTTTTTGGCACCTTTTTGGAGATATTTTCCTCTAGCTGGCACAACTGGAGGGCATTTGGGCTATCCTCCATACACGTGTATAGAGGGATTTGCTTGAGGCTTAGTTTCTCTAAGAAGCTTTGCCTTTTAGTTTCTATAAGAGGGAGGCTCCTCCTCCCTCCTCTAGATTCAGAAAAATCACCTTTGAGTGATACATATAGTCTTGTATCTATATTTCCTTGTTGCTTCATTTTTGTGCTTCAAAAGTGTTGTTTTGTCTTAGTTTAACACACAAACACACACTCAAACACCTTCCTTTGGTTGTTAAGGTGCTAAGGGGTTGTTTTTGGTGTTCTTGGACTGGATTAAGCTCAAAGAACTTGCTGGAGTTGCAGTTGTAAATGAGGTCTTCAAAGGTGAGCATTTGACCTTTAAATCCCTCTTTCTTGCTTAAGCTTTTATCCCTTCTTGAATACATTTTAAAGCTTAATTCTTAACTAGAAAAAGTTCTTTTCTTGCATGCTTAAGATCGTTGTTTAAGGTCACTTTTTCGTTTGGGGTGATTTACCCCCTCTTAGGCCTTGTTAGGCCTTATTTTGAGCCATCCCTTTAGGCTCTTGTTGAAGCCTTTGCATGAACTTTCTACCACTAAAATCCAGAGTATTTTCAGTGGTGGAAAGGTGGTTTTGGTGTCTTAAATAGGAGTGGGTCATCCTCTCTCCTTGTATTGTGTTTACTTGCTTCATATGCCTCATGTTTGAGCACCTTGGTTAAGCTTATGTTGGCCATATCTTAGCTTGTATTTGTAGTTATTTTCCTGAGTCATACCACTATTTTGGCTTGGTTTGGTCACTCCATACATGGTTAATACACTTGTAGTGTAAATCTCTTAAACTAGCTTTGTATGCTTCATGAAGTAGGATGTCATTATAGCTAGGTTTGAGTCCATTTCAACATGTATTTGGTGTTGTTTTACCATGTCATACCTCTGTTGGGGTTTGGTTTGGTTAGCCTTTGCATGCTCCATGCACTTATAATGCAATTCCATGAAACTGCCTAATATGCATCATGTTGTAACATGTCATTTTAGCATGCTTTTGGCTTAGCTCTGAGAAGAATTTGTTCATGTTTTAGCATTTTTAAGGTCTGATTTGTGTTGTTTTGGTCATACATGACTTGCTTTGTATAGCCTTGGTTCAATCTAGCTTGTTAACTTTGTGTATTGAGTCCACTAGCATGCATTACTTGGCCTATTTGAATGATTTGACATCATTTCATATGTGATTTCAGTCCATGTTTCATGGCCATGCATGCACATTTGTCACTCATTCAATGCGTTGGAGGGTTTGCCCCTTTATGCCTTAACATGAACCATTGCTATGCCTTCATGCCTAAGCTTGCGAGCTATCATTTCAATGTGTTTTTTTGGGTTATTATGCCATGATATAACTCTAATTTTTGTTTCTTAAGTCATCCCATGCTTAGTCTTAATAGGTGTAGTGTAATCCACCTTATTTGCCTTGTATGCATTATGTCTTATGCCCTTCATGATAGCTTGTTTTGGCTTCATTCCATGCATGTTTTAGACTCATTTTAACATGTTCTAGGACTTTTTTAGGTCGCCTTGGTCACATGCTTCATGTTTTGTATAGTTGTAGTACAAGTGCCCTTGCTTGCTTCAAGCTTTGAGCACCATTGCATGCTTTATTTGTGTTGTGTACATGATTTGGCATTACTTAACATGACATTTTAGAGCATATAGACTTGACATGTTGTTACTTCATTCACCCTTTGAGTACCTCTAAGGGTTGTGTATTTGTTGCCTAGTTTATGCTTAGCTTATATGCTTGTATGCCTAGTTATTTGAGCCCTCATCTCAGCATGTTTAAGTCCTTGTTTTGACCTAATTAAGCTCTGTTCATGGTTGGTTCATGCATTTGTGCCATGTATTGCATGTCCCTAGAGTAATCCTCCTTGTTAGCTTTCATGCTTTAGGACCATTGCATGCTTTACTTGCTTTGTTTGAATGATTTGGCATCATTTCTTACCTCATTTCAGTGCACTTAGTGTTGTCACACTTGCACATTTGTCACTCCCTGAGCCTTCTTGAGGGTTGTGCTCTTAGACCTACTTGGATGGCCAATGCATTGTGCATGCATACCTTGCCTTTTTGTGCGTTAATTTTATCACCAATGGCCACTGATTTGGGCATGGGATTTGGACTCTTTGGTGATTTATCAGTCTCACATCGCACATTGTGAGATTAGATTCAGAATCGTGACATTGAGTCCGAACTGTGGTAGCTCAGAGAACAAAACGAGGATTTGCGCCCCGCCCCCACAGGCGCGCGCGAATGTTCGAAGAGTTCCCTGGAGCGCGTCCATAACAC